GTATCTGTCGTGTATAATACGCACAGACTTTTCTTTTGTTTCATTTCAGACTGTTAGCATAAACCATGAAATTTACGATATTTCAACTCTGTTGGTTTTTTTCCACCAAAATGATATTTTAATAAGAGCCCCCTATTTCTAATTTTGAGAGCTCCCGGGCGCTTTTTACGTCGAATACGGTAATCTTTGAATAAAGGCGCATAGCTCTCCTAGTCTCTACAAAGTGCCGCTTTGTCCTCACCACACATAGCCTTAAAACAGTGGAGGTAATGCCTATGACCAATATCTGTTCACAGGTAATTCAGACCATCTTTTCACTGTTCACAAGTAATTTTTCCACACATGTCACAATAATTCACATTTTACTGATAATTGTCGTATAAATTAGTTCATAATAATAATTAGGAATAATACATTCTTACTTATCAATCTGACAGTGACTTAAGCCGTATTAAAGGGGCGGTCGGATAGCCTAGTGGTTAAAGCGTTCGCTCGTCACGTGTCGATTCCCGACATGGGTACAATGTGTGAAACCCATTTCTGGCGTCCCCCGCCGTGAAATTGCTGGAATATGGCTCAAAGCGGCGTCAAATCAAAGTCACTTACTCACTCACTCCGATGCCTGCTTAAGCATGCTACCTGGTTGTGTATCTGGTTCCAATACAGACTGTAAACCTGTAAGTATTTTACTTACCGAATTTCCTCTATTAGACGCTCGGGATTCTATTTATTTCGGACAATCCTTTGACCCGGCGTCAATTAGAGGCCCGGCTTCTTTTAATACCCCCATTTCAATATGAAAGGGATCATTAATTGTATCAATTGATCGACCCGGCGTCTATTAGAGGCCCGTCTTCTATTTTTTGCACTGAACAATTGACCCGGCTTCTGTTAGAGGCCGACGTCTATTATAGGCCCGGCGTCTATTATAGGTCCGGCGTCTAATAGAGGTAACTACGGTACATGCAAGCTGTTAATGGTGTACTGTACATCCTTCGTAGTTAGCCAAGGAACAGTTTGCAAACCCTCGTAGTGTGTACTTATAACATTACCAGCGCAAGTTGCGAAATATCTTTCAATATTGTAATTTGATTATATCTGTTTCTACAGTTTGAAATTTTAGATATGGAATACTCATTAAAATTGCAATGACTTTTAGCCAATGCTAGATAATACATAACCAGTCTCAATTTTCCAAGGAAACAAATTCGATTGGCCTTAGAAGGCAAAATAGAGGCGAAAATTATAGGGATGGAAAGGCAGGTCTTTATGCTTAAAGACTTATTATATTGGAAATATCTATGATTTGTAGCCAAACGATAATGTATAAGCCTTCTGATGCCTTGTAACAGCAACATATGTATTTCAATAATATGTGCATGACAGCTGACTTTTTCGTTGTGTGCGGCAAAATACGATTTCTTAATCATTGGTGTTGTCGCTGCAGGCTTATCAAACTCCTCAAGGGCACAATGTGTGAAGCTGGAATAAAGAATGCGTAAAACCATACGCACTCACTTGTGTCATTTTGTGTTCGCTTGCGGCAGTAAATATAGTTAAATATGTGATTAATATTTTTAAATAAAATGTTATTTAAAAAAAAAAAATTAACCATAAGCTGTCACTAATGATGTACGTAATATGAAAATAACACATGTTAATATGTGATCTATGTATTGGTCCCTACACTCACACCATAATGTATTCATGCCTCCCACTATTTTCACTAGCTATGACGTCATATGCTTTATGGCGTCAAAAGCATACCGTTGGCTGTCGCGTTTTGACCGCGGTGGGAAAATTATCATCGCGGTGGAAATAGTTTTCTGTATTTTCATTTTAGTTTTTGACATTTTCGTTTTGTGTTTTTGACATTTTCATTTTAGTTTTTGACATTTTCGTTTCGTTTTTCAGCGATTCAATATCTTCTTTACACATGATTTATCACATATTTGTAAGACAAATCGTGTTAATTTGCAAAAGGTTACGATAAAAGTAAGTGAAATATCAAAATATGGAAAAACAGACTCCATGTCCCTTATGGGCCACCGTATTCATCGTTATCCATCAAGACAGAAGCCTATAGATTTGAAAAAAATTTAATGATGTAAATTGACATTCCATAATTGATGTACATTCATATATGTGGATATAGTATTGTAGATTTTCATCCTGGTAGAATCATGTGCACTTGATGTATATTCATGACATGTACTTGCTGTATATTCATGACATATCCACCAGTGTCATCAAGAGAGTCTTTGAAGGCGTTTCAATTGAAAATGACATGATGCATGTAAAGTGAATTCACGATTAATGAACGTTTCAAATTCCTGTACCACACACCGTTGGCAGTGTGTGGTATGGTACTCCGGGCCATGGGGCCTCCAATACTGAAATATGTAAATATCTGTGTGTCAATCTCTCTTCATGGTGGTAAGCCTATATAAAAGAATAGGAGTAATTGTTATCATACCGTAGAACCTTTAATGTAGGTCTTCGGTAACCTACACTTGTCGTGGGGCGGTCGGGTAGCCTAGTGGTTAAAGCGTTCGCTCGTCACGCCGAAGACCCGGGTTCGATTCCCGACATGGGTACAATGTGTGAAGCCCATTTCTGGTGTCCCCCACCGTGATATTGCTGGAATATTGCCAAAAGCGGCGTTAAACCACTCACTCACTACACTTGTCGTAGGAGGCGACTAATTGGATCAGATGACGAGGCCCGGTGACCCGGTTGATTGCATGTCACCGTATGCCAGTTGCATGGATCAATGTTCAATAGATTATCTGGTCCAGATTCAATTATTTACAGATCGGCGTTATATAATTGAAATATTGCTGAGTGGGGCGTTAAACAAGACACAATCAATCAATCAAAGGGCTAAGTGCTGACCAATGGTGATTGCAGCATTCAACAACACAAGCATCTTCATCAACCAATGTCTCCCATCAGGAAACCAATACGCGATAGTATGATGAACAACACTAGTTGAAATAACGACTGTGACACAAAGAAGTACATCAAAACGTTAACTCCAAAGTGAGCCATAAGTTGCCCTGCACAAAAAGGCAAGATTGCGAGCCCAAACGTATCTGCAAAGCTGCACATACCTAAGACTAATGGGGTAAGATAGATATGACTTCTTGCCCAACTGAACATAGCTGCAACTAGGGGACCTGAAAACAAAGCAATTAACACTGACTCTACCCATAGACCTATCTCTCCTAGAGAAGGAATACACAACATTATTCCTGAAATCAGTTCTGCCCCTAAGCAAATGTAGATTAATTGTGTCTGAGAAATACATGTACTTGATACAGTGCCCAATATTCGTCCTATGAAATGGTGCAGCCAGTACACTGATGTCATCACTGCCATCCTTTGAACACTGAGCCTCAGAGAACTGTCAACACCATACGTCGTCAAAAGGCTCCCATAAGCGAATGGCAGTCCACAAAACGATACGTACGTTAAAAGTAGGGTACTAAAAAATACCAGGAACTTAGGAGAATTCTTATTTTTATCCACGACTTTAAAACCACCATCTAATGATTCATTCACCGTTTCGTTCTTATTAAGCTTAACGAAAATTATTTGTCCAATAAAAGCTGGTACATTTAACAAACCTAGCAATACATAAAGCATGCGAACGTCCGCCCTAAAGTATGAAGGTCGATGAGTGTCAGTTGTATCCTCCGTACCCCCAGAGGAGGATGAGAGACGACCAGTGACTGTCATCTGGTTGGTGCTAAATGCTGAACTATGATAGCCAGTGGCATTTATTGAAGGTTCATCGGTAATAGACGGCTCGGAGCCATTCAATGGGAATGGATTAATTTTCTCAGGAATTGAATATGAGTGGCCGAGGAATGGTTCCACCAACAGTGGTGTCACATAGGCCCCAAAAGACACAGCAGTCAGTAGAAAGTGGAGGAGGATGGGCGACTTGGGGAATGTGATGTTGCTCTGATGAACGATCACTGAAAGAAAGATGTATGTTGTTTAACGCCACCGTCAGCAATATTCAAACAATATACCAAAAGCATGTAAAATATCGAGTCTGGGCCCCGTTCTACAAAGCAAGTCCTTGTATCCCAATTGTGTTGGTCGATGCTCATGATGTCAATCACTGGATTGTCTGGTCAAGACTCGATTATTTACAGACCGCCGTCATGTAGTTGAAATATTGCTGAGTGCGGCGTTAAACAACAAACGTACAAATATTATTTTTATTGTAGTTCCATTAAGATATCGTGAATTAAAAACATGCATAAAGACTTTCAAGATTGTCTAAGAGTTCAAAACAATACATTTGGCTTCTTAATTAATGATTAATACATTGTGTGTTTGTAATTAATTATTGGGAATGTTATATAGAAAATAAAATTCGGGAATCCTGGCTAAGATTCATTAGATTGATGGCCTACCGCCAGGCAGATGTGATCATATCATTTCCATTTGACAATGCCAAGAAATGTCATGATGATTCCCACTATTTCTTACATTTTTGCAAAGTATTTTTAAATCAAAAGGTTGAAATTGACTATTTAACAGAGAAGGTGGTGAGGTGAGGTGAAATGGGGTTTAACGTCGCGTCCAAGATTATTGCACTTATATAGCGACGTGCATGTACGTGTGTGTTTGTGTGGCTGCTTGTACTAGTCCGGACTGATGCCGATTTATAGTGCTAGCTCACTGAGATACCATGCTGCAGTTTAACATGAATACCCCACTCAGACACAGTATACTGACTCCGAGCCGACCAGTCCTTGTTTTAGCCCCTTAATGCCGAGCGCCAGACAGGGTAACAACAAGTATCATCTTTTAACGTCTTTTTGTATGACGCGGCCGGGGATGGAACCCCGGACCTTCCGCTCTCCGGGCGAACGCTCTACCACTAGACCACGGAGGCGGTCTTAACAGAGAAGAATTTGTGATTTTTTTCAATAGACACGAATGAATACTTACTGTTAAAAACACATCCATTGAAGATTCCTGATCCAGCAATTGCGAGACACGCTACCCACAAGTAAGGCGTGATTGTGACTGTGCTTATACACACTCCCTCCAGCAGTAAGCACACTGCAAGCACTTTTGATGGTTCCAGGTACTTCATAAGAACTACAGACACCAAGCACCCAAAGCTAAGAGATAGTCCCAATATGAGAAACAGGCTTGATATGTCATCCAGACTTGTCCTAAAATAGTCCTGAAGGTCAGGCAATGTTGGTCCAAGAATGGTCATAAAGACACCCTGCAGAAAAAGTACCGGAGATAGTACAAACAGTAACATATTGTAAAGTATTTAGTTTGGAATCCTTAAAGTGTACATGGAGGTCCACAGAGAATATTGTATTAAATTGAGTCAGTGTGTTAAATATATGTAAACATATATCTCACACGACGGAAGATTTTTAGGGTCATTTGTTGTTTTCATTTTTTTTGAAATTTGAATATGAATACTAAGTTGAAATTTCAAAATGCTAAGTTGAAATTTCAAGATACTATGTTGACATTTCAAGATACATAAGTTACATCTTTTTCTTGAAATTTGAACTTAACACAACATCTTGAAATTTCAAGTTAGTATCTTGACATTTCAAGTTAGCATCTTGAAATGTCAACTTAGTATCTTGAAATTTCAATTTAGTATTTTGAAATTTAAAGAAAAACAGCAAGAAAAGAAATGGCTCTAAAAGGCTTCCTTATCACACGGAAAAGCAGATAAACAGATAAAAAGATATGAAAAAACGGACAAAAGTAACAGTAACAAAACAGGAAATCGATCTCGGATTCTGCATTTCAATATTACCATTCTATTTTGTAAACAAAATAAAGTGTTTCGCCAATGAATGAATACAGAAATACGATTACACAAAATGGCTAGTTTGTATGAAAATATGTAGAATTATTAAAGTGGAATTTAACTTTTTTCCCACGTGGTTTCTTAGCAACAAGACAAAAGATAGTGTTAGATATATATCTTATGACACTCGGTGACTTTCTCAGTGTGTTAGCAAGCGTGGCACCAACGCCAGAAGTGAGGCACCTACCAACAGAAGAAGCGAATAACACCACAGTGACACTCGCAATATAGTCAGCTTGTTTGGCATGGTGGTCTTGGTACGCAACGATGTCTTCTTGTTGTGCAGGCAGTGTCAGGTTCACAATGAAGTCGATCTAGAAATGACAAGACCATAGATCAGGTATCACTTCTTGAGTTTTGTATGAAGTCTTCAGATTGGAGTTAGCCTCATGTCTTGCAAGCAAAAACATACATACTCAGTCTAATGGGCAACGTAAAAATATAGCAACATGACCCCAATGTCTCAAACAATAGCCAATGACACACGAGGCAACTTATGTCTGGCAACATCGGTCGACAGACCTGGCACACCACGGACAAAAATCCTCTAACTTTCCTGCCATCTGAGTTGTTTCCTAAGAAACGCTACTGACGTCACCCTTCCAAACCAACATGGCGGGAGAGAATGAATATTTGACAAGACTTTTCAGCTCATGTAATGGTATTGACATTAAGACGAAGGAGAGCAAGACAAAGATTACAAAACAGACAAATATCATGTGACGAAAATAAGCGGTGATGGTGAAATGGGTTGAACTTCGCTTTCAAGATTGTTGCACTAATAGCATGCACGCGTGTGCGTGTGCGTGTGCGTGTGCGTGTATGTGTGCCTGCCTTCCTTTTACTTGTCCAGACTGATGCCGATTTATAGTGCTAGCCCACTGAGATACCTGCCGCAGTTTAACATGATTACCCCACTCAGACACAGTAGACTGACTCCGAGCCGACCATTGTTTGATTTAGCCCCTTAATGCCGAGCACTAGACAGGGTAACAACAAGTATCATCTTTTAAAGTCTTTTGGTATGACGCGGCCGGGGATCGAACCCCGGACCTTCTGCTCTCCGGGCGGACGCTCTACCATTAGACCACGGAGGCGGTTGTATTTAGTACGGGTACCATTGTTGTGTTTTAGACCTCACGTCTGCAGTGTTTCGGCGACTGTTTTCAGCCTAGTAACGGTTTAATAACGTTTGTAATTGTTTGGTCACATCCAATTTTCAAGTGTATACTTTCTTTGCCTCGCAGATTATACAGTTCCGGAGCAGATCTTGAAAACCGTACAACATTTCTTGCCTTGCACATAATCGGACATGTCATATTGGCTGGGAACATGGGTGAGTGTGAGTGGGTGAGCGTGTTTGGTTTTACGCCGCTTTTAGCAATATTCCAGCAATATCACGGCGGGGGACACCAGAAATGGGCTTCACACATTGTACCCATGTCGGGATACGAACCCGGGTCTTCGGCGTGACGAGCGAACGCTTTAACCACTAGGCTACCCGACCGCCCCGGTGGGGAACATGACTATGTTATGTAACATGTAATGTAAAGTATTTTGAAAGTTCATTTTGACTATGAAATGTATCAGTAGATTTTACAAGATATATATTTAACAACAATTAGAATCTTGGTCATAAGCTAGAAATTGAAACAGATAATTACAATAACACTGCAAAACATCGTCGATTGTGTGATTAACGTCAGCAACAAAAAGAATTTAAGAACCTGCTACATGGAAGGGGAGACAATTGTATAAACTGGGATTTAAATGTTGGAAAAGGCTTTTGTCAAATTATTCTCAGTCGCCTCAGGCTTTGCTGCAGCGATCTTAACGCAGATCAGCTTCATGGACATATTTTGGATACTAAACTTTGTTCCTGTGGATACCCATCTTCCCGAGGCAAGAGAGTTAACTGACTTTGAAAGTCAAGTTTCCACCCTTGCCGAACTAGGCTGGAATTCCTGGGCTCGATCGTAGCGCCACGAGTGGGTATTACGAGTTATGTCCTTTCTATGCCTCTCCTATTGACCAATCAGATTTAACCTCTCGTATCACTTGCATTTGTTTCAAACAAAACGGTGGCGCCCAGTCAAGACGATCTGATCGATAATCAAGATCTATATTGTGATAAAACGAGTCTTACATCGCGAAGTGCATCAAATCACGTGAGCACCTTGATTCAAAAAATGAAAAGATTTAGAAAATATCTGTTGACGACGAGTTAGCGGTGCACATGCTTTGCAAATCATGCAGTCGACCGAGATCTGCATGACAGTTTACGAACCGGATTTCGATTTCGGTGCGCGATTTTGATTGGACTATGCATAGACTCGTTAGTCCAGCCAAAATGTAACTCCATAATACCAGCCTAGTTCGGCAAGGGTGGAAACTGGACTTTTATAGTCAGTTAACTCACTTGCCTCGGGAAGATGGTGGATATCATACCGGAGATGTTTTACATTTCTTTTTTTGTGTGTACAAATTACTGTATTCTTCGATATGAACTGCAATTATACTCTTCAAAAAAAGATAATTTGGGTCATAAAAGCAACATTAGCGGATCAAGAGGTGCAAAATAAAGAGGTTTAAGGCGTTATGGTGTTATGACAAATTTCCCGGATCAAAATGATCCCAACAAGGACATGCAAACCATTAGTCGGGAAACGCGTACGATTCGGAAAAACGCAACCAGTGCATTAACAAAAGGGCCATGCATGGAGCTGCACGTACTGCACGTTCAGCAGCACTATGAACGGTATTAAAGTGCAGGTTTTTTTATTGCCTGGCATCTGCGTCAATCGAACAGTGACAGTTCAACAACATGCCAAGATTAACACAAATGCAAAGATACAACGTCAAAGGCCGCTTGCAGGCAGGGGAATCCCGATCAGCTGTCGCCAGCGTTTTCAATGCAGCGCCCAACATCATCACAAGGCCATGGGATCGGTTTTAACAGCATGGGTCAACACACGTGATCGGCCAAGGTCGGGACGACCAAGAGTAACCATCCCCGCCCAAGATCGCTGCTTCCGACTGTGCCGCCTGCGAGAAAGGACGACAACAGTCACCTCAACCGCATCCCAAATACCCGGAATCTCCGACCAGACCGTACGAAACCGTTTAAGAGCAACATGTCTTGTTCGACGAGTCATATTGAGTCGACAACATCATCAACAACGACTGTATTGGTGTCGTCAACACAGGATATGGCCTCAACTGCGATGGAGAGATGTCTGGATCAGCGACGAATCAAGATTTCTGCTCCGTCGAGTGAATGGAAGAGCACTGGTCTACAGACGTCGGGGCGAACGTTACTCCGGAAACTGCATACAGGAAGTGGACAGGTTTGGAGGGGGGAGCATATCGAGGGCAATCTTACGACTCAACGACACATCAACGAAATTCTCCTACCACACGTCCTCCCAATTGCTACCAACGGCAACGATGTATTCCAGCAGGACAACGCTCGATCGCATACAGCACAGATCACAAGAGCCTCTCTACATAACAACGTTGATGTTCTCCCCTGGCCCTACAGATCCCCGGATTCGAACCCGATAGAGCACCCGTGGGATGAATTGGATAGACGGCTACGCCGACGTCGACCACAACCCCAGACGTTGCAGCAGTTGGCTTTTGCGTTGCAGGCCGAGTGGGCTACCATTACCCAGGATGTGATTCGTATACTCGTCTCTTCAATGGGCAGGAGATGCCAGGCCGCTATCTATTCCAAAGGGGGACATACGCGTTATTGACGGTAGCTGGACTTTTCCTATGTACCGATAACTGAGATGACTACAATCACCAAGTGATCCACATAAATTTGGATCAATACCTTGTACGGTTCCTCGTATAAATGCATTGTCCTACCTCACACAAATCTGGCTTGCGTTTCTTTTTTTGAAGAGTATATATTAATCATATATATATATATATATATATATATATATATATATATATATATATACGTCTTAGGCGCCGCAATTCGCTATGCAGAGTTGCGTCCCTTGGGCACGTCAGAAACCTATGATTGTGGGTTCGAATCCCGTTTCGACCCGATTATGTTTCTAGGTTTGTCAGCACCATACCCGTGCTCGTGGGTTTCACCGAAATGGTAAAAATCTGAGACCTGCATCACTTCGGGCCCTCCTCCTACATTAAGCTGACACGCTGTGATATAACTGGAATACTGTTAAAAGCGGCGTTAAACCCAACTCATTCACTCACTATTATATATATAGCTTGGCATATATAATTCATTTGTTCCATTCAGGTTGGTGAGGTGAAATGGGGTTTAACGTCGCGTCCAAGATTATTGCACGTATTGAGCACGTGCATGTACGTGTGTGTGTGTTTGTGTGGCTGCCTGTACCAGTCCGTACTGATGCCGATGTATAGTGCTAGCTCACTGAGATACCATGCCGCAGTTTAACATGAATACCCCACTCAGACACAGTATACTGACTCCGAGCCGACCAGTCCTTGTTTTAGCCCCTTAATGCCGAGCGCCAGACAGGGTAACAACAAGTACCATCTTTTAACGTCTTTTTGTTTGACGCGGCCGGGGATCGAACCCCAGACCTACCTCTCTCCGGGCGGACGCTCCACCACTAGACCACGGAGGCGGTCTTGTCCCATTCAACCTTAATGGAGCGGTATTATAAGCGATTCACTTGGTTACTGATCCATTTTCATATTTTTGTGAAAATAAATGTTTAAATCAATAAGTATGCTCTCAACGTAAGGGTGCAGCAATTAAGTGGAATAGCCCGTCAATTAGCTCTGATCGAGGATTTTCAATTTACGTCACAGCTGGCTCAGTCATTACAGATTTGATGTTAAACCCAGCTCCTATGAAGGTTAATCCTAAAATCGATATCTGAAACAGTAATGATAGTAATACCCCCGTGCGTATAAAGTATAGTTTTGGCCTGAATTGACGTCAAAGCACTGGGAAGCAAACGTCTTCGTACTTTAACTATACTAGTTCAATGGTGAGGTGAAATTGGGTTTAACGTCGCGTCCAAGATTATTGCACTTATATAGCGACGTGCATGCACGTGTATGTGTGGCTGCTTGTACTAGTCCGGACTGATGCCGATTAATAGTGCTAGCTCACTGAGATACCATGCGGCAGTTTAACATGAATATTCCACTCAGACACAGTATACTGACTCCGAGCCGACCAGTCCTCCAAGTCCTCCAGTCCTCCATGATTTTTGTACTTATATAGTATGTGTGTGCCTGCCGGTATTAGTCTGGACTAATCCCGATTTTATAGTGCTAGCCCACCGAGATAACATGCAGCAGTTTAACATGAATACCCCATTCAGACACAGTATGCTGACCTGAGTCCTTGTTTGCCGAGCGCCAGACAGGGTAACAACAAGTACCATCTTTTAACGTCTTTTTGTATGTCGCGGCCGGGGATCGAACCCCGGACCTTCCGCCTTCCGGGCGGACGCTCTACCACAAGACCACGGAGGCGGTCCTAGTTCAATGGAAAACTATACTTTATTACACTACACAGAGGGGTGGAGCAAACCTCATTCCTTAAAACACGGGTTTGTCTGCAAATATCATTAATGAAACGGGGGCACGGGTGGCCCAGTCGTCTAAGGCGCCGCGATTCGCTGTGCAGAGTTGCGTTCCTTGGGCACGCCAGAAACCTATGATTGGTTCGAATCCCGGTTCGCCCCGATTATGTTTCTAGGTTTGTCAGCACCATACCCGTGCTCGTGGGTTTCACCGAAGTGGTAAACGTCTGAGACCTGCATCACTTCGGGCTTTCCTCCCACATTAAGCTGACACGCCGCGATACAACTGGAATACTGTTAAAAGCGGTGTTAAACCCAACTCACTCACTCACTCACATTAATGAAACTGACATATGGCGGTGCCTAGGCCCCGTTACACAAAGCGATCGTAGCGTCACGTACGACTTTCTCAATCCTTATTTCACGTACTGAAGAGGCCACAGGCCTATAGTACAATTTGAAGAATATACAATTTTATACAATTTATGTACATATCTCACCAAATCACCTCACGTCATTCCACCTCGCATCTCAACGCAGTCACATAATTTCACACATACAGTACAATACCATACCCTGTAATTTCATAATTTCTATTTTACCATATCACAACTTGTTATATCATACAACATATTCTATAACATCATATCATATTGTATCATTATTTTAAGATCATACGATATAGTATTATTTCATATACCATTATCATATCATAACATACCCTCGTACCATATATCACACCTATATTATATCACATTACAACATGTCATATCACACAACACATTAGCAATGTCATAGCTTGTCCCATCATATCTTATCATATCATACCATATACGACTATCGTAAGTCTATGTCAAAGGATGGGAGTTACGATCGTCTTAGCGCTACGATCGCTTTGTGGAACCGGGCCCTAGTTTCAGATGCGCACACTTTGATCACCACGAAATTGAATTTAAACTAAATTCGCCTTTATGATTAAATTTGCGTATTCAGTTTGTCAAAAGAATAGGAATTCATTGGTTTGATGAATCTTTGAAATTCAATACTATAAAAAGAAGATGTTTATGGTATACATTTCCAAACAAAGTTGTGTGTGTGTATATATATATATACAGTAAACTACGGTTATAGCGAACATGCTTATAACGAACTGACGGTTATAACGAACTTACTTTTTTGGTCCCGACTATTTGCTGTATTTATGCTGTATATATGCTTATAACGAGCTTCGGTTATAACGAACTAAAATAAGTAGTCCCTTTGAGTTCGTTATAACCGTAGTTTACTGTACAGCAAATATTAGTTGAAACTTGATGTTTTGTGTAACACCCTACACTTTTACAGCATGAAATATTTTGTTTCAATTATTCTTTTGAGGTGAGGTTGCCGCGCAATGTTACACCGATCATTGATCCAAATTCTCATCCTTCGCATTTGGTATAGGAAACACGTAATTCCCTTCTTGGAAGAATGGTGTTATTGTAATCCCCCAAACACCACCCATCATAATCAGTATGCTTACAAGCAGAACGGTACTTACGATCTGGTAAGCCTTTTCACATCTGAAAGCCGAAGAAAGCCAATGTAGGTTCACGTTACAGGCTACTTGCAATCTTTGTAATCTGATTTAAACGGGATTCTACGTCCGCTGTAGTTAGGCTACGCCAGTTCCTGTGTATATGCAGAGAAAGTGCAATATACGCCAGCTGGTATCTGCCCTGCGGGAATACGTGTCATGTGACGTATATGACTTGAGGGAAACCAAACGCTCCCTATCCGAAAGGGAATGGTATTTTGAAATTGCAACTTAGTATCTTGAAATTTCAACAAAAAAAATAAATAAAAAAACAAACAAATGGCCCTAAATGGCTTCCGTATAAATGACTAACAGATTCAATAGCTAGCATAATATTATTGTTTCCAAATTGTTTATCATTAATATTGTTAAATCTATGTTATATTTGGGATAACATTTGTCACATTTGACCACTTTCTAAATGGCGTGAAGTGGGGTTTAACGTCGCGTCCAAGATTATTGCACTTATATAGCGACGTGCATGTACGTGTGTGTGTTTGTGTGGATGCTTGTACTAGTCCGGACTGATGCCGATGTATAGTGCTAGCTCACTGAGATACCATGCCGCAGTTTAACATGAATACCCCACTCAGACACAGTATACTGACTCCGAGCCGACCAGTCCTTGTTTTAGCCCCTTTAATGCCGAGCGCCAGACAGGGTAACAACAAGTACCATCTTTTAACGTCTTTTGGTATGACGCGGCCGGGGATGGAACCCCGGACCTTCCGCTCTCCGGGCGGACGCTCTACCACAAGACCACGGAGGCGGTTTCTAAATGGCATTGTGTGTTCGTATGGCTTTCGGCCAGGGGAGCCGTGCCAATTTACACTTGTATCATAGGCAGTTTGGCAGGGTATATAGGTTTTAACAGGGAGTCTATATATTTTAACAGGGAGTGTATATACGTTTTATATATTCCCTTAATGAAGTAAGTTGATTATAATATCTATTTAAATAAACAAAGTGCTGCCAATACAAATTATAACAGCAGCTGGGGTATCATTACCATGGCCAGCAGCACAGAGTCATGTGCGGGTCAGCGGGTTGTAGTTAATGCCAGAGAATGGCCGGTTGGCCACTGAAGCTTAACTTTGTGGATGAGGTGCGGGATACTGCAGGCTGGCCATGTATGTAACGTAACACGATACATTGCAGTCTGAGAGTGAGGGTTAAAGATAGTACGCTTTCTGTAAGTCGGGACTTGACCCTCGGACAGCGGCTAGGCAGGTCGGCTCTCTTACGCCTCAGAGATTCTGCTTGGCCATACTACTATGTAATTATATAGACATATTAAGATCACGAATAAACGTTGTGGACCCACAGACGGACTTGTGTGTTGTCATAAGAGAAATATCCGGTAGAGCAACAACGTCTACCTAGGATATATTGGTGGAGCTTCGATCCTCGGTACCTCAAACCCAATGCAACACGATAAAGAAGTTAGTCAACACAAAGTGAATCGTTATTTCGTCTGGGGTCCACAACAATCACGACAACAACCAACAACCAGCATTCTGGATCGTCTATCCTCAAGCTATTCTGTGCTCATCATTATTGTCATCATTGTTCTTACTCGGAGACATTGTTACCACCCTAAAAGGCCAACCCCTTCAGCCGTCCCGGGGACCAGCAACTTTTCCAGGATACAACAGAAAAAGAACCCAGGATTCCTTGTTTCGTCATACCCCTCCCTCAACCATCAAGAGGTGATTTCGAAGACTGACATTTTCATCGACGACCACTGTGTTAACAACATCAAGTTCCACTTAACCAAAACATTTGTTTCATTCCGGTAATTCCTGTGTGTTTGTGCCAGCCACTATCTCAAAAGAAACAGTCCTCAAAGGCATTGTGATTTGCAGTGAATATTTGTTGTAATTAATGTGCTATAGCCCTTCATATTTGTGACATTCGTAGGAACAGTTTTGGTAAGCATTATTTCATATATTGTATTACAATCAACAAGAATGACTTTTTACGCTCTGAAACGTCTTCCCCTTTCCTCCCCCGAAGTCTTGAGTCCTCCCATAGCATACCAGTCCTTACTGTCTAGAAATGGTTCAACCCAACAAGAAACTCAATGTATGATGGCAAGGATTCCATTGCTGCTGTTTCATGGCTGAAACGCTTTGAAAACTTTGCTTCAGTACAAAAGTATTCTGAAGAAGACCAAACAAAAAAATTCCCCCTTTATTTAACTGATCTCGCAGCTGAATGGTACGATGGTATCAACAATATTTCACTTATGTCTTGGTCTGAGTTGAGACAAGCCTTTTTACGGAGAAATGCACCTTCCGCAGTAGGTCTTGTAACTCGACAAAATGATTTATTGGACAGAAAACAGAGGGAAGGTGAACCTTTCCGATCTTTCCTCCAGTCCATAAGACATGAGGCAGAGCTTCTACAAAGAAATGAAGACATGTACATCAAAGATCTTATTATCCGTAATGCTCTTCTCAATATCCGCGTGTTCATCCTGACACGCCCCCTCACCTCCTTAGAACAGGTCACAGATAGTGCGGAGATAGCCGAGGCCATGTCAGGGTGGATTGACTCCAGATCTGATGAAACCATGACCGCTATAAATGAACTCACAGTTAAAGTCAATACTCTCAACACCCATCATGTCAATGCAATAGGATCAGATACTGGGCCAAAGAAAGAGCATTCATGTCAGTCAGGATCCATTCCATCACCATATCCCCAAGCACAACATGTGAACCACGGGTCTGAGCCCCCAACTCATCATCACAATACCGACCTTGCATGTATAATCAAGGACCCCAAACTGCGCCCTTTAACGACTCCATGGGATTCCAATGTGAAGATAACGCTCGTTCTCTTGACCAGTTCATGTGGTATCATCAAAACCTCTTGCTACGATGTCTTAGTATCGCTCATATTTTCACCACCCTCATTTTGACCATGTACCCTTTTGTAAACCTGGTGCTAACGAAACTCAACCCATACCTATCAACAGTCTATTAACGCTCATAGGATTTAATGTTCTTGTATTAAAGTGTACCCTTGGTGCGAGTGTGTGACAATGATGTCGATTTGTTGAAGTTAATTACATCATTAAAAACAGTGTATTTTATGCAAGATGTCTGATTGTTTACGTAATATATGGATTATGACTGTAAAATAGTGCATCATTTTGTGAGTGTTCAAATATCATTATGTAATGTTCACATGTCTACTAGCCATTAACAGGTGTTCAGACGTATCATCTTTCATTTGGTGTTCCTTAGTAACTGCTCTTACCCATTATAGGCCTTTGCTAGCGGGGGTTGGAAATGAGTAGTTACGATTATCTGTCCCTATGTGATTCTTAATGCATTGAAAATGAATGCATTTATATTCCCTATGTGAGCTGTTGTCTATTTATGAAAAATGTCAATCCTGTTTGAAGTATAAATGTGTGTTGAAAGTAGGTTTAGAATAGGCTTGTCTTATGTACTGTAAAGTGGAGAGAGAGAGTGAAAGAGTAAGATAGCTGCTGATAGGATAAATGAACAAAGAAATGACAGAATACAAAAGAGAGACTGACATGTATGGTAGATAGGGTGGGTCAGAGAGAGAGAGAGAGAGAGAGAGAGAGGGAGGGAGAGAGAGAAAGGAAAGGAGAGAGAGAAACAGAGAGTGAGAGGATATAGCGTGGGTGCGAAACAGAGACAGACAGAGGTGAAGTGTAAGCGCGAGAGAAGGACAGATGTAGAATTGGGTGAATGAAGTGTTTGTCCGCATGGGAATTATGAACTGACAAGAAAAATAGAATGAAAGAAAGTGAGTGAAGCAGAGCATAAGTGAAAGCGTTATTTGTGAGGAGTGGAAATAACGAGAAGAGGGAATAAGAACAAGACAGAGCAACCGCTGTTATAGTCATCAATGTCTTTGTTCATTTTTTTTCATTGTACATATTCATGTAATGGTATATTTGTAACGCGTAACTTCCTTGTCTGTATGGATAGCAATGCATCGATGTAACCACTGTATTCATTGTACGTATGTAGTCATATTGTCGTTACTGGAAATATTTCTGTGTGAAATTGTATCCAGTTCGACAGCAGTGTTTGTAGATAAAAAAAAACGTGGTCCACACACAAAATGCTGTACATTACATCAAATTCTCAGTTTAAATTTTGTCCAGTTAAAAAAAAAGAAAGAAAATTGCTTTCTGTACTTTTTGCTTGTTTATACATTTCATATTGTTTTAAATATGTGGTTATATTGATTGATTGTCCACCGTACCTCATTCTCAAAGCAGAAGAAAGCCAATGTAGGTTCACGTTACAATCCGCTGTAGTTAGGCTACGCCAGTTCCTGTGTATATGCAGAGAAAGTGCAATGTACGCCAGCTGGTATCTGCCCTGCGGGAATACGTGTCATGTGACGTATATGACTTTAGTGAAACCAAACGCTCCCTATCCGAAAGGGAATGGTATCTTGAAATTGCAACTTAGTATCTTGAAATTTCAACTTAGTATCTTCAAATTTCAAGAAAAAAACCAATAAAAAAACAAACAAATGGCCCTAAATGGCTTCCGTATAAATGACTAACAGATTCAATAGTTAGCATCATATCATTGTTTCCAAATTGTTTATTATTAATATTGTTAAATCTATGTTATATTTGGGATAACATTTGTCACATTTGACCACTTTCTAAATGGCGTGAAGTGGGGTTTAACGTCGCGTCCAAGATTATTGCACTTATATAGCGACGTGCATGTACGTGTGTGTGTTTGTGTGGATGCTTGTACTAGTCCGGACTGATGCCGATGTATAGTTCTAGCTCACTGAGATACCATGCCGCAGTTTAACATGAATACTCCACTCAGACACAGTATACTGACTCCGAGCCGACCAGTCCTTGTTTTAGCCCCTTTAATGCCGAGCGCCAGACAGGGTAACAACAAGTACCATCTTTTACCGTCTTTTGGTATGACGCGGCCGGGGATGGAACCCTGGACCTTCCGCTCTCCGGGCGGACGCTCTACCACAAGACCACGGAGGCGGTTTCTAAATGGCATTGTGTGTTCGTATGGCTTTCGGCCAGGGGAGCCGTGCCAATTTACACTTGTATCATAGG